ATCCAGGGTTTCTTTTTTTTTCTTTTTTTGAACTTTATAATATTTTTACAATACAGAAGTTTATTTTTATGTCAATTCTATCAATCTTTTGATCAATTTATGATCAATTTTATCCATCTTTTTCTTAATATGCTTTGATTTTAGAGTTATGTTTACAAAGTCCTTGATGGGGGAGATGGAGCTTTTACTACTACTGGGGATGTGGAATTCACGAAATTTGCATAATTAGGGAGCTGTTTCCACATGCCATAAATATGGCTGCTCCCATTCTGACAAGAGTCCAGGAGCTATAGAAACATAACCATCACCACAGCACAACTGAGAGGAAAAGAACGAGAGACTGTACTTTGTATTCATTCGTCACACACACATGCACAGTCACACACACCACACATACACACCCTGCTCTAAGCACTGGGCACTGGTCTAGGCATTTGAGATACAGCAGTGGCCCAAACCAAGTCTCTGTCCTCATGGATCTTATGTTCTCATTCTAATGGGGAGGGGCAGACAATAAACAAATAAGGAAAGCCCTTTATGCAGTGTCCCGAGAGAAGTCTCTGGGTAGGGATGAGGTGGGTGGTCTCCCTGAGAGGTGACTCTGAACAAACTCAAGGAAGTGAGGTACTGGTGAAAGCAGGTATCAGAGGTAAAAATGTCCTAGGCAGGGCCCAGAAAGCACAAAGGCCCCGAGGCAGCCCTGTGCCCTGGGCGTTTAAGGAAGGAAGGAAGCCAGTGGGGCAGGGGTGGAGTGGGGATGGCCATAGTGGGTGGGCGATGAGGCTGCAGAGGCAACAGACGGTCAGTTCATGCAGGCCCTGATGACCATTATAAGAATGTGGGATTTGGAGCTGGGTGCAGTGGCCCATACCTATAATCCAGCACTTTGGGAGGCCAAGGTGGGTGGCTCATTTGAGGTCAGGAGTTCAAGACCAGCCTGGCCAGCATGGTGAAACCCAGTGTCTACTAAAAATACAAAAATTAGCCAGGTGTGGTGACAAGTGCCTGTAATTCCAGCTACTCGAGAGGCTGAGGCAGGAGAATCGCCTGAACCTAGAAGGTGGAGGTTGCAAGGAGCTGAGATGACACCACTGCACTCCAGTCTAGGTGACAGAACGAGACTCTACCTCAAAAAAAAAAAAAAAAAAAAAAAAAAAAAAGTGATTTTGGAATTTCGCACTGAATGGGAAGGGAAGTTATTTAAGGGTTTTGTACAGAGACATGATGTAATGTAACCTAAATTTTACTAATGAAGTTACTTTGACAGATATGTTAGAACACACTGCAGGGCAAGAAGAGCAAAAGCAGGGAGTCAGGATGATGTGACCGTCCAGGAGAAAACAGCGTTGGCTGAGACTGGGGCAGGAGGAGGGGCAGGTGGGAAGGGCAGAAAGAAGTGGCCTCTGAAATTCCTAATTCATTCATAAAACTCCATATAGTATAAGAAAGTGACTCTGAATGTGAACATCACATGTGAAAGAGATACATACAGCAGACAAAAGCTGATGCTGACCTTGAAATATATGCCCTATAGGAGACAAGGCAGGGGAGTTCAGTGAGTTTCCAAGAACCAGACCACCTGCGAGCTGTTTGTTACTGCTGGCTATGCAGACCAATGGCAGATAAGTAAATTACACACAGATTTTCATACCACAAGGATGTTCCGCATGTCTCCATTTGTCCTTTCATGGTTTGTATAAATAATTTCCAACAAGAACACCTCCAGTGCCTACTGTGAATGACTGTTTAGAAGAGACAGATCCCTACCTGATAATTATAGTCAATAGTCAGGTATTGAGAAAATGTAAATAGTATATATTTCTGGAACGCAAGATGTCTATCTGTACCTTGACGTACTTTTGAACTTCACCACATTCTCAAATGAATATGACTTATTTAGACAGAATGAGGCAGCTGGAAATTAACATTCTGATGTGGAGCAAGGAGAGGCTAAGTAAAGCGCCTTTTTTTCTTTTTCTTTTTTTTTCCCAGACAGGGTCTCACTCTGTTGCTCAGGCTGGAGCGCAGTGGCGCGATCACGGCTCACTGCAACCTCTGCCTCCTAGACTCCAGGGATCCTCCCACCTCAGCCCCCCGAGTAGGTGGCACTATGTGCACACAACACCTGGTTAACTTTTGTATTTTTTGTAGAGACAGGGTTTTGCCATGTTGCCCAGGCTGGTCTCGAACTCCTCCCACCCGGCCCTCCCAAAGTGGTGGGATTACAGGCGTGAGCCACCACACTGGCCTAGGTAAAGAGCCTTTCAGCAAAGCTGCTTTAATAAGCTTATCTTGGTCTCATCATCCTAATCAGAGGGGCCAAAACATGTGGGGTGCTCTTAACCCTGTGCCTGGTAAGAGGGCAAACCTTCCTCCTTGGCCAGGAGTACAATCTCCAGGCCTCACTGAAGGCCACATAGCCTTTGAGGTGGAGCCCAAACGGGAACCTGCTCAGTCTGACTCCAGAGCCAGCACTGTGGACCTCCCCGTTCCACGGCCTCCTCAACCTAAGGACGGGCCCCACCTCTCCAGTCGTCTCCACCCACAGCAACCACCCATTCACTTGGCGCTTTCTTTTTCTTGCTTTTTAGTATATGCACAACGCTTTCTTCATAATTGAATTGCATGTTTCTTGTGGGCAGGGAATTTTCATCCCCAGAAGGCCTTTCACAGCATAGCCAATAAATACTTGATTATGTACAAATAATGGATAGAGTAGTTATGTTTTCAGCATCTCCACATGAATGAATAGCAATCCCCTTGAAAAATAAGTTATGCAACTGAATCCACCACTAATGGTAGAGGAAATGAAAAACGCACCAGTTACAAAATTTCCTTGGTCTCTCAACAGTTATGACAGGATTTGGACATTTGTGATGGAAAGGACTTCATAGTGGGATTTACAATTCAGACACGATTCTGTCCAGATAGGAAAGGAGCACTTGATGAACGAACCCTGTGCTTAGTGCTTTACCCTTCCCAGGCTGCACTATTGAAGGCTGACACCGTCTCCTAACGGGAAGTACTGCCTTCATTTTTACAGATGAGGATACAGGCTCAGAAAGCTGGGCTGGGCCAGTAAGTTGAAGACCCCATTTTGAGATGAGCCTGGTGCTCTCTCCACTATACCAAAATGCCTTTTAAAATGATGGGGAAAATGTATGTGAAACAGAGCAGTAAGTTGAAAAGAAATGTGCTTATGTTAAAGATGTTATCAAAGAATTAAAAATAACAGTGAAGAAGATAACGCAAAGAATTAACTCAGAAAAACAAATAATAGAAATACAGAATACACTAGTCTACAAACACAGCCACACAACTCCAATGGAGACAGCATTTCAAGACAAACAGATAAACCTAGAAAGCTGAGAAGATCTAATATGCATCAAGACTGGTATAAGAAACAAACCATACACTGAATATTTCCTAGACCTGAATGACACTCTCTGTAAAGGGTGTTCAATGGGGAAGAGGCTATGTGGATTTTTTTTTTTTTTTTTTTTTTTTTGACAGAGTCTCTCTCTGTCGCCAGGCTGGAGTGCAGTGGCACCATCTCAACTCACTGCAACTTCTGCTTACTGGGTTCAAGGGATTCTCCTGCCTCAGCTTCCTGAGTTTTAGTAGAGACGGGGTTTCACCATATTGGCCAGGATAGTCTCGATCTCTTGACCTAGTGATATGCCTGCCTTGGCCTCCCAAAGTGCTGGGATTACAGGCATGAGCCACAGTGCTCAGCCAATTTTTTAAAATGAAGAATTAAAGCCAAGTTGTAAAAAGCAGAAATAATCCCAGGGAGTTAGTTTTGAAGATTTTATTGAGATATATAGTGAGTTTTGAAGCTTTATTGAGATATAATTCACAAACCAGAAAATGCATCCTTTTCAAGTATAAAATTAAGTGGCTTTTAAAATATATTCACAGAACCACAACATTTGAAAGCTGGAAGAGATCTCACAAATTACCTAGCCGACTGCTTCCCAAAGTACGTTCTACTGAAGCTTTTAGTCTCACAGGCTACAGTATAAACAGGAATTTTCCTAGTCAGAAAAACTGGTTAAACATGGCATTAACTGCATACTCTCATCTTCCCCTTGGAGAATCACAGTGCAAAACTAAAGCCTGGGAGAAGTCCCAGGATATTCCAATTAACCCGACACAGAACCTCTTTTCACGGGACATGTACTAACAGACCATCAATCAGTGAGCTGGGGCCAGTGCTTCAGAAAACCCTGACTTATTCCAACCACCTAACATCCAGGTGAATAAAAAGAACACCAGAGAAGGCCCACTGGCTTGAGGCCTCTGAGCTCCTTCAGACTGCCTGACGTGAAAGCAACATTGGGAAATAATTGTTGCTGTTTATGGCAGAGCCAAAACTAGAAACCAGATTCACAGACTTCTAGTCCAATGTTCTCTCTACAATGCCACACACTAAAAGCTGAAGCTGGGAAGCCTTATGTCAATAAATCCCCTCCACTCTGGCCGCAGCCCTAAGGACAGTCACACTGCAGTGCTACTGTCCTTCCAGCCAACGACTCGGCACTCACTCCAAGCCTTGTGCTGCACACGCCTCCGGGGTCACCTCACTGAACCCTAACAGCTAAACTGCGCCAAGGTACTACTGGGGTCCCCATCTCACTGAGGAGGGAAGCAAGGCTTAAAGAGGTGAAGGATCTTGTTCGAGGTCACTCAGCAAGAGTGGAGGGGCCAGGATTCATCCCAGCAGTGGCCTCCAGGGGTAAGCTCTAAACCCCGGGTTTCTGCCAGGCAGAGGACAAAGGCCACAGACTCAGAGTAGGCCTCCTGTGAAGTTTACTAAAGGACGTAAGATGAATTATAATCATAATCAGATAATTAAGACACATCACAATGAACATTTAATAAAATCTTCAGCCTCCCTAAACACTCTCAAGTAAAACAGATAAAGAAATTTAGGCCAAATTTCCATTTAGGGAATAAGATCAAATCCCTAATCCCACAACACCAATATCAAACTATTCGAATACAACAAATGTGTTATGATAAACTATTAACAAAAACTATAAAACAAGCTAAGTTAAGGGAAACTAGAAACAATGGAAATTTAAAAATGAGTTGATAAAAAAATCAATCTCTCTCTCTCTCAAAACCAATATGATAATCCAAAAGCTTAATCATAAAATTAAGAAAACACAAATTAGTCTAATAAAATAATACCACGTTTTTACAGATCTGAAACTAGTGTTCAGTTATATGTTTGGAAAGAAAACTATAACATAAAACTAAAATGGATATAAGTAAATATATAGTAACATTATAGAAAGAAATAGGGGAAGTTATTAAAAAACTGATTTCAAAAGGGAATTTCATAACAGTAAGTTACATGAGAATTCCTTCCAACGTTTAATGGCAGTTTAATTACTGTAAGTGATTTGTTTCTCCAAAATGTAAGAAAGAGATGGTTTTAGTCAAATCATTAAAAACAAATCAGGTTTATTCCTAAAGCCTAGTAAAAACAAGTCCCAGAAATATTTATATTCACATTTAAATATGTATACATATTAATTGCTAAGTTACATATATAAGTTATATATTATATATAACATTGTTATGGATTGAATGCTTCTGCCTCACAAAACTGATACATGAAATCCTAACCCTCACTGGAACTGTATTAGGAGGTGGGAGTTTTGTGAGGTAATCAGGTCATGAGGGTGAAGCCCTCATGAATGCAATTTGTGACCTCATAAAAGAGACCCCTGAGAGCTCTCTAGCCCCTTTCCACCATCTGAGGACACAGTAAGAAGCCATCATCTATGAACCAGGACATGGTCCTCACTAGACACCCAATCTTCTGGCACTGTGATCTCATACCTGCCAGCCTCCAGAACTGTGAGAAATAAGTGTTCTTTTAGTCACCCAATCTATGGTACTCTTTTATAGTAGCCCAAACTAAGACCTATATATATATATACACACACACACACACATTTCTGTAACTTAGCAAATAAAAGCAGTGGGATATACTAGAAAAAACACTGGATTAAAAAAAGAAAGCAGCACTTTGGGAGGCCGAGATCAGCAGATCATGAGGTCAGGAGATCGAGACCATCCTGGCTAACACGGTGAAACCCTGTCTCTACTAAAAATACAAAAATTAGCCAGGCGCGGTGGCAGGCGCCTGTAGTCCCAGCTACTCGGGAGGCTGAGGCAGGAGAATGGTGTGAACCCGGGAGGCGGAGCTTGCAGTGAGTGGAGATGGTGCCACTGCACTCCAGCCTGGGCGACAGAGCAAGACTCCGTCTCAAAAAAAAAAAAAAGTACAGGCTGGGTGCAGTGACTCATGCCTGTAATCCCAGCGCTTTGGGAGGCCAAGGCAGGAGGATCACTTGAGATCAGGAGTTGAAGATCAGCCTGGCCAACATGGTGAAACCCCATCTCTACTAAGAATACAAAAATTAGCCAGGTGTGCTGTTGGGTTACTCAGCTGTAATGCCAGCTACTCAGGAGGCTGAGGCAGGAGAATTGCTTGAACCAGGAGGCAGAGTTTGCAAAGAGCCAAGATTGCACCACTGCACTCCAGCCTGGGTGACAAAGCGAAACTCCATCTAAAAAGAGAAGAAAAAGAGATGAAGAGAAAAGAAAAAAGAAAGGGAGGGAGGGAGGAAAAGAAAGCAAGCAAGCAAGAGACAGACAGATGGAAAGGGGAGGGGAGAGGAAGTGAGAGGTGAGGGGAGGGGAGGGGAGGAGAGGGGAGAAAAGGAAAGGAAAGGGGAGAAAAGAAAGGAAGGAAGGAGGGAAGGAAAGAAGAGAGAGAGAAAGAAGGGAGGGAAGGAGGGAAAGGAAGGAAAGGAAAGAAAGAAAGCCTGAATTCTAGGTCTTCCTTAATCCTAAAATAACCATGCACACTTTCACAAAGTACTTAACTCATCTGGACCCCTGCTTGCTATATATAAGAAAGGACAGACATATGCAAAAATTTTATAGTCAAAATGGGAGAAATAAAAGGTAACATGACTAAATGAAGATATATCCTCAGTGACTAAGAAATATTATAAACATAGTAAAATTTAAATTTCCCCATAATACAGAGAACCTGAGAAACTGAGAGTTATGCATGTATGTAAGAGAACAAGTGGATAAAAAATAATATAACATATATTTTAAAGGCAATAATGATGTTGTTTTATTTAAGGCATACGCAGGGTCTTCAAAATGGTCATATATGATATTATATATTATAATATCATATATTGTATTATATTATAATGTGCATTATAATAAAACTATGCATGAATTTCAAATTTTTTTACCCCAAAATAAGCCCATACTAACTTGTTATAACATGTCTGAGCAGGATCTACTTTGAGGCACTAAGAAGTATAAGACATCAATTTGAAAAGAGTCCCTATCAGACCAACATAAATTCTGCATTTAAATGGAAGCAAGAACAAACATAAAACTTATGGTGAGGCTTGGGTGAAAGAATGGTGAAATCACTGACACTTTACAAAAAGTTTATGGGAATAATTCCCCAAACTTTTTGAAGTCCCCTTATCACAATTATCAAAGCTATATAATATTCATTTAAAAATAAAAAGTATAAAGATAAAATATAAAAAGTTAAAAAAAATATTTTATCTATTTCAAGAATTTGATTCAATGACAGGAAGAGAAAATACCCTCGAATCAAAAGTGCATCCCTGATTTACAGAAGGGATCAGAATCAGCAGTTTGCAAACGGATAACTAAGTTTATGAAGGGGCCAAGATGATGTTGAAGATGAAGCCCAAAGTGGCAGGCCATCTACATAGATTTGCAAAGAAAATATTAATCTTGTTCATGCCCTAATTGAAGGGGACTACATAAATAATAGCCAACACCATAGACATCTCAATTGGTTCGGCTTACACCATTCTGACCAAAAAAGCTGAGCAAACTTTCATTTGATGGGTGCCAAAACCACTGCACCCAGATCAGCTGCAGACATGGGCACAGTTGGTTTTCAATCGAAATTGTAAACAAGTGGGATCAAGATCCTTAAGCGTCTCTTCAAGGAATCGTAATAGGAGATGAAACATGGATTTACCACTACAATCCTGCAGACCAAGCACAATCTAAGCAATGGCTACAAAGAGGTGGGAGTGGCCTAGTCACAGCAAAGAAAGCAAGAGCAAAGGGGATGGCAACAGTTTTTTTGGGATGCTCAAGGCATTTTGCTTGTTGATTTTCTGGGCATGGGGACAAAGAACGATAACATCTGCTATTTATGAGATTGTTTTAAGGAAGTTAGCCAAAGATTTAGCAGCAAAACACCCAGGAAAGCTTCACCAGAGAGTCCTCCACTGTGACAATGTTCCTGCCCATTCCTCTCATCAAACAAGGCCAATTTTGTGAGAGTTTCCTTGGGAATCATTAGGCATTCACCTTACGGTCCTGATTTGGCTCCCTCTGACTTCTTTTTGTTTTCTAATTTTAAAGGGCACCGATTTTTCTTCAGTTAATTATGTAAAAAAGACCGCACTGTAAAAAAGACTGCACTGACATGGTTAAATTCCCAAGACCCATAGTTCTTTAAGGATAGACTAAATGGTTGGTACCATCACTTACAAAAGAGTCTGGAACTTGATAGAGCTTATGTTAATAAAGTTTGTGGTTTATAATTTTATCTTTTAATTCTACTTGTCAATGTACTTTTTTAAGTCCCCTTATCACAATTATCAAAGCTATATAATATTCATTTAAAAATAAAAAGTATAAAGATAAAATACAAAAAGTAAAAAAAAAAGATTTTATCTATTTTAAGAATTTGATTCAATGACAGGAAGAGAAAATATCCTCGAATCAAAAGCACATCCCTGATTTACAGAAGGGATCAGAATAAAACCGTATGTATATCTCACATGCAAAGAGGCATGAAAATACAGTAAGATAGTTTTTAAATATCCATTTACAATTTAAAAACAGAATAGTCTATAAATCTTATTTTGGGACGGAAGATAAATTTCATTTCTGGAGAAGTGAGTCTATCATTATAACAACAATGTGTACAGGTCTGAATGTTCAAAGTTCCCACGATTAAAGGCAACATTAGTTCTCACAATGAAAGTAATATAATAGATGGAAAATATAATTAACTTCACTAATATTTATATTAAACATTTAGAATTTGGACAAACATATAAGAAATACAGGCATACCTCATTTTATTGCACTTCACAGATACTGCCTTTTTTCTTCAACAAATAGAAGGTGTGTGGCAACCCTGCATCGAGTAAGTCCATTGGCATCATTTTTCCAACAGTATGAGCTCACTTTGTGTCTCTGTGTCACGTTTTGGTAATTCTCCCAAAACTTCAAATTCTTCATGACTGCTATATTTGTTATGGTGATCTATGATCAGTGACCTTTGATGTTACTATTTTAATTGTTTTGGAGCACCACAAACCGTGCTCACGTAAGACAACAAACTTAATTGATAAATGTTGTGTGTGATCTGGCTGCTCCACTAACCAGCCATTCCCCCTTCTCTCTCCCTCTCCTTGGGCCCCCCATTCCATGAGATACATTAATTGAGGTTGATTAATAACCCTACAATGGCCTCTAAGTGTTCAAGTGAAAGAAAGAATTGCAAGTCTCTCACTTTAAATCAAAAGCTAGAAATCATTAAGCTTAATGAGGAAGCCATGTTGAAGCTGAGAAAGGCTAGAAGTTAGGTGCCTTATGCCAGTTAGCCAAGTTGTGAATGCAAAGGAAAAGTTTTTTGTTTGTTTATTTGTTTGTTTTTGAGGCAGAGTTTCACTCTTGTCGCCCAGGCTGGAGTGCAATGGTGCGATCTTGGCTGACTGCAACCTCTGCCTCCCAGGTTCAATCAATTCTCCTGCCTCAGCCTCCCAAGTAGCTGGGGTTACAGGTATGTGCCACCACGCCCAGCTAATTTTTGTATTTTTAGTAGAGATGGGGTTTCACCATGTTAGCCAGGCTGGTCTTGAACTCCTGATCTCAGGTGATCTGCTGGCCTCAGCCTCCCAAAGAGCTGGGATTACAAGCGTGAGCCACTGCACCCAGCCGAAAACTTCGTGAAAGACATTAAAAGTGCTATTCCAGGGAACACACGAATGATAAGAAAGCAAACCAGCCTTATTGCTGATACGAATAAAGTTTTAGTGGTCTGGATAGAAGATCAAACCAGCCACAACATTCCTTTAAACCAAAGCCTCATCCAGAGCAAGATCCCAGCTCTCTTCAATTCTTTGAAGGCTGACAGAGGTGAGGAAGCTGCAGAAGAAAAGCCCAAGATTAGCCGAGGTTGGTTCATGAGGTTTAAGGAAAGAAGCCGTCTCCATAACGTAAAAGCGCAAGGTGAAGCAGCCAAGTGCTGATGGAGAAGCCACAGCAAGAAAACCAGAAGATCTAGCTAAGATCACTGATGAAGGTGGCTATACTAAACAACCAATTTTCAGTGAAGACAAAAGAGCCTTCTATTGGAAGAAGATGCCATCTAGAATTTTCATAGCTTGAGAAGTCAATGCTTGGCTTCAAAGCTTCAAAGGACAGGGTAGCTCTCTTCCGAGGGGTGAATTCAGCTGGTGACATTAGGTTGAAGACAATGCTCACTTAACATTTTGAAAATCAGAGGGCCCTTCACAATTAGGCTAAATCTACTCTTCCTCTTCCTGTGCTCTATAAATGGAAAAAGAAAGCCTGAACGACAGCACATCTGTTTACAACATGGTTTACTGAGTATTTTAAGCACACTGTCGGGACATACTTCTCAGAAGAAAAAAAAAAAAGAGATTCTTTTCAAAGCGTTACTGCTTATTGACAATGTACCTGGTCACCCAAGAGCTCTAATGGAAATGTACAATGAGATTTACTGTTGCTTTCATGTCTGTTAACACAACATCCATTCTGCAGCTCATGGAACAAGGAGTAATTCTGACTTTCAAGTCTTATTATTTAAGAAATACATTTGATAAGGCTATAGCTGCCACAGACATGGCTTCCTCTGATGGTTCTGAGCAAAGTAAATTGAAAACCCTCTGGAAAAGATTTACCACTGTAAATGCCATTAAGAACATGGATTCATAGAAGGAGGTCAAAATAACATTAATGGGAGTTTGGAAGAACTTAATTCCAACCCTCCTAGATGTCTTTGAGAGGTTCAAGACTTCAGTGGAGGAAGGAACAGCCAATGTGGTAGAAATAGCAAGAAAACTAGAATCAGAAGTGGAGCCTGAAGATGGGACTGACTTGCAATCGCAGGACAAAACATGAAGAGATGGGAGGGGCTTATGAAGAGTGAGCGCAGAAAATGGTTTCTTGTGATGGAATCTCCTCCTGCTGAAGATGCTGTGAACCCTGCTGAAATGACAACAGAAGACTTAAAACATCACATAGGCTTAGTTGATAAGGTAGATGTAAGGTTTGAAAGGATTGATTTAATTCTGAAAGAAGTCCTACTGTGGGTAAAATGCTATCAAACAGCATCACATTCTACAGAGAAATCATTTGAGAAAGGAAGAGTCAATCGGCGGGTAAACTTCACTGTTGCCTTACTTCAAGAAATTGCCACAGCCACCCCCACCTTCAGCAACCACCACCCTGATCAGCCAGTAGCCATCAACATCTAGGCAACACCCTCCACCAGCCAAAACATTACGACTTGCTGAAGGCTCAGATGATTGATAGCATTTTTTAGCAATAAAGTTTTTTTTTTTTTAATTAAGGTATACACGTATTTTTAGACATAATGCTATTGCACACTTAAGAGACTACAGTACAATGTAAACTTAACTTTTATATGCACTGGGAAACCCAAAAATTCATGGGACTCACTTTATTGTGATATTTGCTTTAGTGCAGTGGTCTAGAACCAAACCCGCAGTGTCTCTGATGTATGCCTGTGTATCTTAGTTGAAAGTCATCAAACTTGGTTTAATCAACAACTTACATCTGAAGAAAAAGAGATTGTATAAAATCATACAGAAAATGCACACTCTCAATACTTTTTTTTTTTTTTTTTTTTTGAGATGGAGTCTCGCTCTGTCGCCCAGGCTGGAGTGCCGGGGTGCGATCTCGGCTCACTGCAAGCCCCGCCTCCCGGGTTCACGCCATTCTCCTGCCTCAGCCTGTCGGGTAGCTGGGACTACAGGCGCCCGCCGCCACCACGCCCGGCTAATTTTTTGTATTTTTAGTAGAAACGGGGTTTCACTGTGTTAGCCAGGATAGTCTCGATCTCCTGACCTCGTGATCTGCCTGCCTAGGCCTCCCAAAGTGCTGGGATTACAAGCGTGAGCCACCGCACCTGGCCAATACTTTTATAAAACATCTTTATTGAGATAAAATTCAAATACCATAAAATTCACCCACTTAAAGTGTACAATTTAATAAGCCTTTAGACTATTCATAGAGTAATATTATAGTTATGCAACTACTACTTCAATCTAAGTTTAAAAAATATATATTTTTGAAACAGGGTCTCGGGTCTTCACGGCTCGCTACAGGCTCAACATCCTGGGCTCAGATGATCCTCCCACCTCAGCCTTCCAAATAGCTGGGACTACAGGTGTGCGTCCAGCTAATTTTTTGTAGAAATGGGGTTTCACCACAATGCCAGGCTTGTCTCAAACTTCTGGGCTCAACTGGTCCACCCACCTCAGCCTCCCAAAGTGCTGATGTTACAGGTGTGAGCCACTGTGCTCGGCCTAAAATATTTTCATCCCCCCAAAAGAAACTATGTACCATGTAGCCATCAGCAGTCACTCCCTACCATTCCTTCACCTACCTCCACACTGAAGCAAGCAATAATCTATTTTCTGCCTTTGTAGATGTACCCGTCCTAAAGATGTTATATAAATGGAATCATACAGCATAAGGTCTTCGTTACTGGTTTTTTTCACATAACATGTTTTCAAGGTTCATCCATGCTGTGGTATGTATCTGTACTTAATTCCTTTCTATTGCTGAGTAATATTCCACTGTATGAATATATCACATATTGTTTATCCATCATCAGTTGATAGACATCTGAGCTGTTGCCACTTTTTGGCTATTATGGATAATAATATGGAGTGGGGTTTTTATTTCTCTTGTGTATATTCCTAGGAGTGAAATTGCTGTTTCATATAGTTTGACATTTTGAGGAACTGTTGAACTGGGTCCAGAGCAGTCGCACCATTTCACATTCCCACTGGCAATGAATGAGGGTTCCAATCACTCTGCACCCTGCCCACACTTGTTATTGGCTGTCTCATCTACTGTAGTTAGCTTGGTGGGTGTGAAACAGTATCTTACTTGGTTTTGATTTGTTTCCTTAGTGATTTATGATACTGCCTATCTTCCTTGGAGAAATGTTTCTTCAGATCCACTGTCCATTTTTAAATTGGCTTGTCTTTTTATTATTGAGTTGTAACAGTTCTTTACATATTCAGAATACAAGTCCCTTAACAGATGTATAACTTGCAAATATTTTCTCCCATTCTGTGGGTTGTCTTTTCACTTTCTTGATTGTATTTTTACAGCACAAATATTTCATTTTGATGTAGTTCAATTTATTTATTTTTTTGTTGCTGTGCTTTTAGTGTCATGTCTAGGAAACCAAGGCCTAACCCAAGGGTTCTATAGTTTTAGATCTTACATTTAGGTCTATGATCCACTTTCAGTTAATTTTCATGTATAGTATAAGGGTCCAACTTCATTGTTTTGCATTTGTGAACACTCAGTCATCCCAGCACATGGTCTGGCTTTGTCACCCAGGCTGGAGTGCAGTGGCATGATCTCGGATTACTGCAACCTCCACCTCCCAGGCTCAAGCCATCCTACCACCTCAGCCTCCCGAGTAGCTGGAACTACAGATGTACACTACCATGCCTGGCTAATTTTTATATTTTTTGTAGAGACGGGGTTTCACCATGTTGCCCAGGATGGTCTCAAACTCGTGAGCTCAAGCAATCTGCCTGCCCTGGCCTCCCAAAGTGCTGGGATTATAGGCATTGAGCTACATGCCTGGCTGAAAAGACTATTCTTTGCCCACTGATGTGTCTTGATGTCCTTGTCAAAAGTGAATTGATCATAAGGCTAGGCGTGGTGGCTTATACCTGTAATCCCAGCACTTTGGGAGGCTGAGGTGGACAGAGCACCTGAGGTCAGGAGTTTGAAAACAGCCTGGCCAACGTGGTGAAACCCTGCCTCCGCCAAAAATACAAAAATTAGCCAGGTATGGTGGCGCACACCTGTAGTCTCAGCTACTTGGGAGGCTGAGGCATGAGAATCACTTGAACCTACGAGGTGGAGGTTGCAGTAAGCCAAGATCACACCACTGCACTCCAGCCTGGGTGACAGAGCAAGACTCTGTCTCAAAAAAAAAAAAAAAAAAAAAAAAGTAAATTAATCATAAATGTAATTCTCCCTGATCCATATGTCTATTTCATGCTCGTACCACACTGTCTTGATTACTTTGTAGTAAGTTTTGAGAGTAGGAAGTGGAGTTTTCTTTTTCCACTTTCCATTTTTTCCTTCTTTTTCAATATTATTTTGGCTATTTTGGGTCCCTTGAGTTTAGGATCAGTTTGTTAATTTCTGGAAAAATATATATATACACACACACACACACACACACACACACACATATATATATATATGCTGTGATTGTGACAGACCCTGCATTCAATCTGTAGCTCAATTAGGAAAGTATTGTCATCTTAACGATACTGAGACTTCTGATACAAAACATGGGGTATCTTTTCAGTAGTATTTTAAAAAATGTTAAACTACTTTAATTTGTATCATTATGGAAATAAAAATAAGCAAACGAAACTACAGGGTAGAGTACTGATTGCTGATACCATGCACAAAATAATGAATAATTATATTCTGGCCCCCTATTTCTTGAGAATGTCTCATCATGTAAGAGCTACACAGAGCTGTTCATAGTCCTTGCTTTTAACAATGCTACCACTGGAGCTATAATCTAATAAGGAACTAAAAACATATATACTGAAATATTTATTGCAGTACTTGCTATCACACTGAAATACTGGGGAACAACAGTCAAATATCCCAGCCACAATTTCCCAATGACAGGAAAACAGCAGATTATTAACACAAGGGAAATCTAAGTTGCCTGCCTATCAATTATTTATTTAAAAAACTATGTTAATACTTGTAAACATCAGATTTGTAAACAAAACACAGAAAGTCTCATATGTATAAAGATTACAAAATAATTTTAAGTAAAATAGCTTAGAATGTAATTATCACTAGGTTACTTTTATGACAATTGCTTAACATCTTAAAATAATTATGTATGTGTTTTGAAATGAGAGGATCTCCTTGTCACCTGTAGCAAGCAGAAGGACACCCTACAGCAACCCACTTACTGACATGGAATTCAGCACTAATGCTGCTGAGTGGCAGAATCGGTTTAGCAATATTGCTATAAAGGTCACCTAGCAATAGATTATGCTTTTGCCTCCTACCCTTAGGACTAGCTAGGCAAGGGAAAGCTCATCCTCTTAGGCACACATAATAAGCTTAGGGATATAAATCAGTATTAACCTTCTACTTGCTTTTCAACCCAACAGATAGGTAGGGTTAAAAGGACAGCAAGTGTATTGGGGTTACTAACATCTTCTCATTTCCGTAAACAGTCATTAAGCCACACAATATGGATTTATCTCACTGGAAAGTGAGATACAAATACATCCTCCATCTCCTCTACACCAAATTAAATCAATCTCTCATTTTGTATACTTCTAAGAATAAACAGAAACCTTCCTTTTTGGTGCCTGAGCATTAACAGAGTCACGTAGGATGGAGGAAGAGAGGACTACAATTAACAGAACTTCAGGGAATTATTTCTCTTCCTGCATTGCCTTTTCCCTGATCCTATAAATAAAAACATTACATCATGCTGACAAGGCATGCTGTTCCAAATACAAGAGGCGGGCTTGCCGTTCAACAGATGCAAAGAAACACAGCCACCAAACAGCTCTGATAATGTCAACATACCCCAGAGACGGGGGACAGCACAGGCCCTTCTGCACTGGCCCTATTCTCCATGATCCCCCTGGGTCTCCCTGTTCCTTCCTCTATCTGATAAATAAATCACCAGAGAGGTCAACATCTACTCTCCTGTCCCTGTCACAATGATGAACTGATGGGCTAAAGAATCACAGAGACCTCCCACTTATTCTGGGGGTCACTGATGGAAAATGGAACTTTATCTTAATAAACATACAGAAAGAAAGCACTAAAGCCCACTTTAAAAAGGCACCTCTCACAGTTGATGGCACCCAAAGTCATGGACGGAGGTAAGGTCCAGAGACAGAACACAGGCACGCCGGGGACAGAAGTGTAAAGGAAGTCTTTCACGCAGAGCTTCACAGGGAATTGAAAATGAGGGGGAAGAACCTCCACCCTCTTAAAAGGAACTGGCAAACCAGAGCGACACGAATATGGCGACGTAAAGGTCAAGCATCAAAGCCGTCTCCACAGACACCGAGAGGGTTTGCAAAGCGCATCCTATCATTGTCCCTTTTGCAGCAGGAATGGAGCGAGGGAAGGGGAGGACACAACAGAGTGGTGGATGGGCAGAGAGGGCTGTGTCTCTTCAGAAAAAACAAACAAGGCAGCTTCAAATAGGAGAAAGATTATATAATGAGGCTCCCAGAGCAGGACCATAGCTACCTGATGACTTCAACGTGGCAGGATACCCTAGTCTATACTGAAATCCGAACTGTTCCATTCTTGACTCGCTACAGACGATGTCGCCAATACATCTGGAGCTCACTTGGAGCCAAGAGGTGCAGATGAGGTGAAGACACCAATGTGATTTTTACCTATGTCTGTGTGTATGTTAACATCTATTTGCATGTATATGTATGTGACAAATATACACCCATACAAATATAAAAGATAAAGTTCATTTAATGTATTTACTTTTTTACTTCAATTAAATTTAATTCAGTTCTTTAAAATCCCATCTTGGAAATAAAAATGTGGCTCTTAAGAAACGAAACTGATTGTTTAGCCAGCACACTGGAATTTAAACAGCTGATGTGGACCCCTCCTTAGGAGATCATCTTCTTATTTCAATTATCAAGACATTTTTGCAACTTCTTCTTTGGAACTGACTTCAGAAACACATTTAGGTGCCACAAGAAAAGTAAATAGTCCTTGATAACCAATGTCATTTCTTAAAAAATAAATGACATAGAGCAATAGATTTTTCTACAAGTAGCCTCATCTATTCATTCGGCAAACATACATTGAGGGCCAGACCTGTGCTAGGCTCAGATTTTGATTTCCAAAACCAAACCTAAGGTTTTAAAATGTCAGCATGCCGGATATTCACAATGTATGGCCTCAAGCTCAGGAGATAGTTTCAAAATAAAGGTCAGGAGTTCGAGACCAGCCTAGCCAACATGGTGAAACCCCGTCTCTACCAATAATACAAAAATTAGCCAGGCATGGTGGTGCACGCCTGTAATCCCAGCTACTCGGGAGGCTAAGGCAGGAGAATCACTTGAACCTAGGAGGCGGAGGTTGCAGTGAGCCAAGATTGCGCCACTGTACTCCAGCCTGGGTGACAGAGCAAGACTCTGTCTCAAAAAAAAAAAAAAAAAACAAAACCGTTCTCAAAATATTTGCATAGGAACTTTGTTAGAATATGTTCATTAACTTTATAGAAAACTACTTTCATTTATTTGAATATCTGAACACTCATTTAGAGGTAAATAATATTAAAAATTAGTTACATTACTAGTCACACCATGTAAGGTATGTGTGTTACATTACTAGTCACACCATGTAAGGTTTATTTACAGAAAACCAAATCCTTACATGCCACATACAAAGTAGATTGTTAAAGCTGAAAGAGAAAAAAGTTGTGTAAATCTGTATTGCTTAAAGAAGAAAGGGCAGAGAGAACTGAAAATAGTTTATGAAAATATAGACTTGTCCCTAATATTATAAAAATAATCAAGAAAAATACTCATTAATTGCTTGTATCTTAATGGATATAACACTACCATAGGTTTAACTGAATGAAAATTAAGTGAATATTAATGGCAAATACAGAAAATCAAAATTATAACTACCAATTCACACTTGAAAATTGAGATTCCTAAATAACCCACTGGTCAGCCTCCTAAATGTTGTTTGCATTGTGGAAATTCAGGGATAAGTAAACAGCTGTATAGTACCTACATCTCCTATAGCTACACCCATACCCACTTTTGCCAATCACAGGCCTTGCTTTATTGACAGCTCTCAACACCAAACAAGTTCTTTTTCCCCAAAAGAAAAATAAAATGAAAATTTGATACCTGACTTCCCAGGCTTAAGCACTCAGTAGGAATAATAACCACCATCACACCATTACTTAGACAGCGTTTGCCACATGCTGGTACTGTATTCACACATTCATTCCCCTCAGCAATGCAGTAAGTCACATGAGAGGAGTCAAGAAAGACAGGATCAGTTGTAAGGACAACATGAGTGGGCAGAGAAGGTTCGAGGCGCGGTACTATAGACACGCAGCGGGGAGAAGCGGAGGCAACGAAACAAGGGAATTCTTTCTGCAGTTTGGCAAAGAGGATCCTGTGCTCACCAGCTGGGGTGTAAACGGACCTCACGACCACGGTGTAGCACTTCACTGTAACATCAACTGAGGCCATAACAGAAAACAGCGAAGTCACCACAACAAGGTTTATGCAAGTGGCATGACAGAAGCAGATCTGTGGAAGAAATCCTCCCATATTCACTCTACGGAGTCCCAAACAGTGAAGGGCAAAGTACGTAAAAAGCAAACAAAACTAAAAGAAAAAGTGGGCACTGAACAGGATTGGAAAATAATGAGTACAGAAGAATGAACACTTACAGGCACAGATTGAGCTGGTCACCCTGCATGTTAGCAAGCTTACGTAAAAGCAGCTGTTCAAATAATTTCACAGATTCTGAGTCACTGAAGAAACAAAGATGGTGTTATATGATGCGCCTGCCCTAAATTAGAGCCCCTAGACCATGTTCTGCGAGTACGTGTTGATAAAAAGAGCTCAGGGGGCCCTATTCCTAACCTAAATGCTCGCTGCAAAGAAAAAAAATTCTTTGTAAGCAAATTCATTGGAAGGAGTCATGTATGTTTCATAAACTGAGTCAGGGCCTTCGAGACCTTACAAAAAGCCTTTTGCAAGAGCTATATCACAGCCTCCCTGGGCAGAGTTCCTCATCTGCAAATGAAGGATGACACTGTCATTTCTGACACCTTCCTACACATACCTGGGAAGATCAATGAAACACTGCTGTCCGGGCACCTTGAGGTTAATAACAACCATATTTCACGTTAGCCTTAAAATCTTTTCATCCTCTGGGCCTTTGGGAAGAGCCAAAGAGAAACACTCATCATATTTTGTCTGGCCCTAAAGCTACAGCTCACAAAGTAACAGTAGTCACAGATCTTGTGTGTTTTTTCTTAAAACTAAATACCAGTTAAGTAAGCAAGTCGAATAACTGTGAAGGAGTTCTAGCATCTACCTTCTGCACTCTGATCACAATTATCTACCCCCAAAAGACTACATATCTACTAAGAGCTATAATGTGGACTATGTACCTCCAAAAACCACATTTACAGGAATCCTTTGATGAAGCTGTGGCTTCCTTATTTCTAGAACCATCTTGACAACAAGGAACGACTGCTTATTTTCAGTTCACTCAATCCTTTATAGGAATTAGTGGTGGCACAAACTAAAACCATGTCAAAGTAAGATTTTTGGAAAAAAAAAGTTATTGGCTTAACCAAAAGGTAAGCAATTTTGTTTTAAAATGAAAAATTAACTCAAATGGCAAGCATAACAAAATATAAATTCTGGTTTTCACATTTCTGTTTAACAACTTCAAAACCCAATTTAGAACATTCGTTCATCAGCAGAATAAAGGGACAGAATTCTAACAAATGCCCAAAGCTAAGGTGCCTCACTGCCCTGCTGCACACAGTTTTAAACTTTAGGCTTCTAGATGGATCACTGAAGAGATGACTGATGTAAATCTTTGAATTCTACACTTTACTCATCAATGCACCAATTAGAAACAGTAGCCGGTCACCATGAATTTACTGTCCCCTTGTAATAAACATCTGTTAAACACTAAACCCAGCAAATCTCTGTTAAACACTAAACCCTGTATCATTGTGTTGAAAGCTACTCAGAACTTATGTCTGCCCTTTAAGAAATCTAAATCTAAGAAAGCACTCATCCTGAGGCCAGGCACAGTGGCTCACACCTATAATCTCAGCACTTTGGGAGGCCAAGGATGGAGGATCTCTTGAGCCCAGGAGTTTGAGACCAGACTGCCCAACATCGGGAGACTCCATCTCTAAAAATAAAAATTCAAAAATTAGCCAGGCATGGTGTCGCACACCAGTACTCCCAGCTACTTCGAAGGCTGAGGTCGGAGGATCGCTTGAGCCTGGAAGGTTGAGGCTGAGGCTGCAGTAAGCTATGACTGTGCCACTGCACTCCAGTCTGGGCAACCGAGTGAGACCCCATTTCAAAAAGGAAAAGGTAAAAAAAGAGTGAGAGAAAAAAGGGAGAAACACAACCCAAGGCTCACGAGCCTTAATGCAAAGAAAAACAATTTCAAGATAATGAGAAGAAAAACAATTTGGAGACAAGTTTAAATAATTCAGATGTTGGTGGGATTTCTGTACTATATCTCAATTTTATTTTATTTTATATATTTATTTCTGAGACGGAGTCTTGCTCTGTCACCCAGGCTGGAGTGCAGTGGTGCAATCTCGGCTCACTACAACTTCTGCCTCCCAGGTTCAAGTGATTCTTGTGTCTCAGCCTCCCAAGTAGCTGGGATTACAGGCATGCACCACCATGTCCAGCTAGTTTATTGTAATTTTAGTAGAGACAGGGTTTCACCATGTTGGCCAGGCTGGTCTCGAACTCCTGACCTCAGGTGATACACCTGCCTCAGCCTCCCAAAGTGCTGGGATTACAGGCATAAGCCACCGTGCCCAGCTTATACCACAATTTTCAACTGCTAGTATAATCTCTAAAACACATCTTCCATATATAAAGCGCTTAGAAAATTGCTCTGCAAGGTCTTCAGATTTAAGGAGTCACTTTATGAAGGAGAAAAATGACTGGGAAAATAATATACACTCCATTGCCTGCATCCCCACCCCAAAAATAACAAATCATTCCTGTGCCCATGAAAGCTTTTCTAGGCAAAAATCTTCAAAAGGACTCATGGGGGCTGATTTCTCAGAGTGCCTGGTTAACCTCAAACTGATTCACTTATCAGTTAAAATCTCAAACTGATTCACTGATAACTATTGGTAAGAATGTAGACGGAGCAGCTACTCTAACAGCTATCTTATTTCAAAGGTATGATTCATTTCTTATATTTTCATTTTTCCACAAATCCTCATAACCTCAAACAAGCAGATAAAAAGACATGCAGTGGCTCACGCCTGTAATCCCAGCACTTTGGGAGGCCGAGGCGGGCGGATCACAAGGTCAGGAGATCGAGACCATCCTGGTTAACTCGGTGAAACCCCGTCTCTACTAAAATTAGCCGGGCATGGTGACGGGTGCCTGTAGTCCCAGCTACTCGGGAGGCTGAGGCAGGAGAATGGCATAAACCCGGGAGGAGGAACTTGCTGTGAGCCGAGATCGCGCCACTGCACTCTAGCCTGGGCGACAGAGCGAGACTCCGGCTCAAAAAAAAGACATGCAAAGGAGAAGCAGACTCCTCCAAAGGCCAGGGCATTTCTGGTTCTGGAGTGAGACAACCCGGGCCCACTCACTGGGTAAGCACAGGAAGTTACTTGAAGCCCTCTCCGATTCTTGTTTATTTCTTCTATAACATGCAGATGACAATTTTACACCTCTGTCACAGGGTTGTTCTGAGGATGAAATGGAAGAGCATGTGTAAAGCTCTTGACGCAGTACTGAGCCAAATTAAGCATATGAAAATATGATAAAAGCTCCTAATATTTCAAAGCTCATGTTGCCCTGATATTTAAGGCAGTAACTTTTGTATAAGTCAATTGTTAGCCAAGATCAAAGTTTAGAAAGAGATTACTAGTAATTCAGAGAGGGAAAAAAATTGTATTTTGTGTTTTTCAACTAGCGATTAAATAATGCTCACATGCCTTAAGCTGGAAGCGCACCAATCTTGTGTCATTAGCAATGAGGAATCTTACCCCTACTTCGCCCACATCTTCCGAACAGAAGGTAACTGACTAACATCCTGGGTTCCTGGAAGAGTCTTCCCTAGAAATGATGCAAAGAAAGGCAAAAGAACAAAATGCTCCCGGGCCCTGTGACATTCTGGCTCATTTTGATACCAGTCCTCAAGTGAGAATCAGAGATTTGATCATCGGAGGCTTTATTTTAAAAAGATGAGGAAGGTACAGTACCTCTAGTCGTTGTATCCGTCCCTTGAAAAACATAAAGAGGGAAGAATTTGGATAAGCAGCTTCTTTTTTAAGGAGAATTTCCTTGGCTTCATCCAGGCCTGCCTTGTTATCACTGCCATCCAAGGCAAAAAACGGGCGGACTACAGTATGATACCAGAGCAGAGCTAATCTAGAGCAAGAGGGAGAGAAACGTTGAGCACATAACTTTTCTTATACCGTTTCCATTTTTCAAGAAACCAGTATGTGTTCTTCCAATACTACTCTTTCCAAAAAGCTTACTATGCAGTCTCTGAAGAAGTAAAATCAGAGACTTTCCCCATTTTAATGTTAATATTTGGAAAACTGCAACTTCAGCACAATATATAAATCACAAGACACCCTTCCCTCAGGGGAGAATAAAGTAACAGGAGCATTCAGTGTTTCTGAGCCTTCCAGATGGATCGCTGAAGAGATGGCTAACATAAATCTCTGAATTCTACACTTTACTCATCCATGTACCAATTAGAAAAGGTAACTGGTCACCATGAATTTACTGTTCCCTTGTAATAAAGGCTTTATTTATTTATTTTGGCAAAAGGAAAATGTTTTCTCTTGTGTTCACAAAACTTAGGGTATAAACCCAGAATCTAACTTTAAATATCATGTACAAATAAATAGATCAAAAGGAAAAAGAAAATTTTTTAAAAAGAATAAATTTAAATACAGAAACCACAGACACAAATTATGCTAAACTGGGTTAAAATCGGTGAGAGGATAAGACAAAGGGCTCTTTCTCTGGCCTTTGAAGATGCTCAATTTAAAAAACAAGCAAATTAATAAACTACTTCAGATCCCTTGCCCCAAACTCATTACTTAAAACAAAAATGGCCATGTTAAACTAGGTAAACAAAACAGTCATTGGGATTTGATTTAATAAACAGACAAAAATGTTTAACCAACATGTCAAATATTTTTATGTAAACGCATACTTATGGTGTGCTTATAAAATTTGGTTCTCTAATGGATCTCATACTAATTACATTATTAATTCTATTCATTTCTTTATCAGAGACAAGCATAAAATATTAAGATATAAACAGACAAATGATCACAAGTTAACAAACCTGTTAATTCACATTAATAAAGGACAACTGTGTAATTTAATGAGTTTAGGGAGGTATATTTTTTTTAATGAAAAATTAAAGATATTTTAAATAGCTATCAGTTGATTAAAAGTTAACATCCAAATTTCTCAATACTGATACAAGTAAGGTCCTCTGGGATATCAACATTTTTGGGGAAAATGTTGACAAGTGCTGTAATGTTAGACAAAGAATATCCGGAATCTTGTTAAATTACTCAAGTTACAAATGGTAGATATTTGCCAGACTAAAATAAACAAACAAAAATCACATCACTTTTAACTGATGTAGAAATTGGTGAATTCTTGTTCTAGATAGTGATATCAGCTTCCTCATGCTCTCCTGCTTAAATAATTATTATTTAAGTTTAAACCAAGGAACATAACATGACTCAGTTTAGTGGAAGAGCACAAAATATCCATGTCACGTATAAGAAACCACCTTGAATCATCAAGGAAAATATCCCAATGTGAGGATTCTGTATAAGAATAAAAATTTCAGAACCACAGAAACAGCTTATCAAATTTGTACCTCCTAAGTCCAAAAATCAGAATCATGAATCTCACAGACTGTGGTCAAAGTCACAAAAACTGCTTCTAAAATCATTTGAGGTTTTAAAATACATGACTTGTGAGACTCGTGAATAACGCCTTGTTCTCTAACTAAAGTCAGCTTAGAACCACCACCATGACCACAGACACAGTCCTTGGTGTTGCACCGAAAGACGTAAGACACAGCATCCTGTCAACCAACCAAACATTTTACCTGAAGTTTCCTTTAAAGTCTTTGATTGTCGTTTACTTACTTTCAAGACTATATTATCTACCAAAGCATTGCAATACAGCTACTCACGTAGCTAAAGGGGCCTTCATGTCCTTACTTTCGCTTGCATACATCAGTGAAGAAAGCCCCTGTAGGCGGTCTCCAGGAAAACCCAGCAGGTTGATGATTTTGAGCAGGTTTGGGGGCACCATGGATATGCAAAGGTGAAAAAGGCCATATCCAAAGCTAACAGCACCTTTCAGTCTGTTTAGAGACTCCTCAGACACCCCTTCAGCCACAATGTGATTATCATTTGCAGCATCAGAAGTCAAGGACTCTTCAGTTAGCTTCTTCTGATACAGCTCCTGAAGGGCATTGATGTCCAGATAGCATTTATTGTAAATCTTCCAGGCTTTCCTAAGGATCCACCCACCTTTGATATAAGCTAAAAAGAGAAAGGGAGAAAACATTCAAAAACATTCAAAATAATTTTTCTATTTCTAGAGTAAAGGATACTGAACAGTAACCTGAAAATCAAGCCAAAAATTTAAAAAACATAAAAAGTATTATCGATTGCACCCAGTTTTCTTACAGTGCTTACTTAAACGTCTTATTTCTCATCACTCTCCCTTCACTACACTGGATGATGATTGGTAAGCACGTGTTTTTCTGCTCATTGTTCTATGAAGCCCTTCATGCAGTACCTAGAGCATGGTATGTAATATACATTGAATGAATGAATGTTATCACCTGAATCCAACATCTTTTCATGTGTTCTGTGACACCCTCCATTGCATTTCTGAATTACTATACTGCTTTCCTGATAAACTTTTTTATAATCCTTGCATTTGTATACCCTGTGTTACAGTCCTCCTTAAAAGCAAGTTCTTGGTCTTGGTCAGGTGACAATTAAATTTCTAGCCGAGGTTGGGCACGGTGGCTCATGCCTATAATCTCAGCCCTTTGGGAGGCCGAGGTGGGCAGATTACTTAAGTCCAGGAGTTTGAGACCAGGCTGAGCAACATGGAGAAAACTCATCTCTATAAAAAATACAAAATTTAGCCAGGCGTGGTAGTGCACACCTGTAGTCCCAGCTACCTGGGAGGATGAGGTGGGAGGATTCCCTGAGCCCTAGAGGTCAAGGCTGCAGTGAGCCACAACTGTGCCACAACCATGCCAGCCTGGGCAACAGAGTGAGATCCTGTCTCAAAAAAAAAAGAAAGAAAAAAATGTATACCCAAGCACCAAGCATTGCATCTTGCCAAAAATAGAATAAAATAAAACAAAATAAGATAAAATAAAACAAGCAGGCAAAAAAGATTAATATTTGCTGGGTAAACAAATAGTTCCAGTTTATTATCAAAAAAGTCATTCATGTTAAATGCAAAATGTAAAGACCTCTAAATTCACATATATCTGAGGCCTACTGTGTGGCTTAACCACACCTTATCAGAATGGCTTTATTTGGTTTATGAAATTGGGGTTTATCCACTGCCCCAACCACAGTGAAGTAGCAATAAAAAAGTTACTGCACAGCAGAAGGTACAAACCTCTTATCTTTAAACCTCCCTCCCCCACTGGCCCTTGTCAGGACCCTGCTGTTGTCCACTCCTCCTAGGAATATTTTTGCTTTCAGATGAGTAGGAAGGGTTGTGGGAGGTCAACTTACGTGGGACTATCTGAGTGTATCATCATCGCATTTTTGAGGAAAGGATTTTCTGTAGGGAATTTTCCGTAAAATACAGTTCTCTCATAACTATGAGAGAGCTTATCCACTTGGCAATGTTACTAATACGATACCAACTCCGACCCTCATGCACAAATGGACAACATGAACTGTCAGACTTTCAGGCCCTTCAGAACAGTAGGAAAAGAGGTTTTCAGAAAGGCATTTCTAAATTTCAGAAAATATATGCAATAAAATAAAATCTGATTTACAACCACCCAATCCCGGAATTGAGAGTGATCTAAGAATAGATGTGTGGAAAAGAGTTGATGCAGCCGGCCTGACTGCTATCATTCAATAGAACTGCTAACAAGGTTGGCCCTTGGATGGAATGGGAGCTTGGATTCTGGGAAAGTTCTTACCATTTCCAAGACTGATAAGAGTGGCTCACTGTGTGCACCTAAACTGTCTGCACAAATAATATGACATACATTGAACACGGATTTTTCTTCTGGGAGTCTGGAATTTGTCTATGTGCAAGGTAGGGGTGCCTACATGATCAACCCCCAATAAAAACTCTGGCACTAAGTCTAATGAGATTCCCTGGTTGGTGACATTTCATTTGTGTTGTCATAACTCGTTGCTGGGGCAAATCAGCACACCCTGTGTGCCTCTCCAGAGAGCAAAGCCTTGGAAGCTTGTGCCTGGTCTCCCCTGGACTCCACTGCCCCATGTGCTTTTTCCCTTCGCTGATTTTCCTTTGTATCTAAGGAACACAAACGAACTACAAAACATAATCTAAGTCCTCCAAATATCTACAATAAAATTAGGAAAAAAAACCCAATACAAATGACAAAATGAGCATGCAACATAATTTTGCTGTAAGAAGTCACAGCTGAGAATATGACTGTAAGATGAGTCTTGCATGGAAGTTATCAAACCTGGGGGTGGTCTGGGGGACTCCCAATCCATGGTATTAAGCTATTATTTTACTTAAATGCATCAACTTTCTGACAAATGGTGAACATATCACCCATGGGATCACATTTAAAAACAACTATCCTACAACTTCTGGGTGATTAATGTCCTATAGTCTACCTCCACTAAAAAGAATGCTATAAGATAGAATGAACAAGTAAAACAAATTGATCTACAAAGTTTTCTTAGTAACTTTAAAATAATAAAAGTAATACATTTAAAACAATTTCTCTTCATTCGTTCTACTTCAGAATATTTACTGTACAAACACCACATTTCAAGCACTGTTCTAGGTGAATTGAAGTGAAATAAGACAGAGATCCTTCCTTTAAGAGGCTCAGTGACGTTTTCCCCTCCTAAATGGAAGCACTGTGGGAAAAGAAAGCCTGAAGAAAACCCTGAAGCTTCTTTTATACTGACAAAGTGGATTTTTAAGTGTCTGGATTGATCCAGCATGCCCAGAAACAAGAAAGATCATGCTCAGTTACAATCCAAAAAGCCAAAGATTTAACAGAAAAGCAGAAAAAAAAAAAATAGAAACTAGAATGTATATTATTGAGAACACAGAGGCAACTCGAATCTAATTCAAAACAAATAATCACAGGTTGCATAGTTTAAACAAATCTGTAAAAACCGAAAAATATCGACCGGCTACTGTTTATATTATGTGCCTGGCACTGTGCTTGCCATCCGAGGAACAGCAAAGAACTATAAAACATAGTCCAATCCTGCCTAATGCCCACAATAAAATTAGAAAAGAAAATAAACACAAAGGAAAAAATAAGCATGCAACTTAACATATATATTTAAATGCTCTACTGGGTCATATATAGAAAGAGTGAAAACAAATAATGCTGAGATTATGAGTGAATTGTTCTTTTTTATCTCCTTTTTTTTGTCACTAGTTTTCCATGTAGTAAACACATAAATAAATTAGAGAGTACAAAATAGTTACTGCAGGATTTTGGAAGAACACTTTACTCCTACCCATTCTTCACTGGAAATTTGGAGGGGTCAAATTAACTCCATTTTATCCTGTATTTTCCAGGCTTCCTCAGCTTTATTAAAGGAAGTGAAGCTTGCACTAAGGGAAAGGGAATGCCCCAGGAGAAAGAAGCAGGAACGCCGGTAGGAAGGAGCAGATGGGCGAGCGGCTTGGAGGCAGAGTGAAGCAGGGGACACCCCGGGACAAAAGGGTGCAAGCCCAACAGAAGAGTGAACACCTGCTCCCAGAGAAACGGCATCTCTCAATGTGACGTCGAAGGGACCAGGATTACAGACATGAATGCTAACAATTCTGACCTCAGGTGAGGAACTATAGAAATGGATGGTAGAATGGAAACAAATATTAAGAATCCATCTACTCCTGAGTGTGTGGAACTAAATCAATAAAACATTAACAGAAACCTCCGTGGTGAAAACCCCACTCTTCTAGAATAAGAATATAATGAGTTCAATCTGTCTTTAATTTTGTGCCTAAGATAGGTGCCAATGTCTGAAAGCATATGTTAAAGTCTATGGTAAGAAGCTGTAAGGTCCTTAATTTGAGCCAAGGAAATGGAACCCAACCTTTTCAGCTGAGTCAAAGATGATAAACTGAAGTATGTCAAAACAAACTTAATGCCCATGTTGAGAGAGGCTTTGCTTTTACTACATTCTACATCCAACTTGGCACTGAAACAGGTTCTCAGGACTTGCTCTACTCTCCATCCCACACTCTGTAAAGCAAAAATTCCAGCCACTGCCAGGCCAAGCAGGAGGAGGCAGAGGCTGGGGGAGGATGCGGCAGAGAGAACAGCACACTCTGCACCGTGGTTCCTACAGGGGCCGCTCCAGCAGCTCCACACAAGGACACAGCAGCTGAGTGCATGTCTTCCCAACAAGCAGAGAACACGCTATTGAAGAGCCGTGCACCCTGCACAGCCTTTCATCTGGCTGCTCTGAAAGGTCAAGTATAAATCATTCAGCTGTCGTTATCTCTGTGTCTGTGGAAGGAGGTGGAGACAGCAGAAAACCACAGACCCGGCCGGGCACAGTGGCTCATGCCTGTAATGCCAGCACTTTGGGAGGATGAGGCGGGTGGACCACTTGAGGTCAGGAGTTCAAAACCAGCCTGGCCAACATGGTGAAACTCTGCCTCTACTAAAAAACACAAAAAAATTAGCCAGGCATGGTGGCAGGTGCCTGTAGTTCCAGCTACTTGGGAGGCTGAGGCCGGAGAATAGCATGAACCCAGGAGGTAGAGGTTGTAGTGACCCAAGATTGTTCCACTGCACTCTAGCCTGGGCAACAGACAATTTGTCCCACCTTATGAGGACCAGGCAACAACCAGCTGAGAGACAGAGGAGGCAAGAGGAAGCCCTGCCCTATACGGGGGTAGAAGTCTTCCCTGGCAAAGGGCAAGAGCTGCTTGCAAAATGGGAGTATCAAGTTACACTAAATTGATCTTGGTTAAATTTTGTAATTTTTCATGGGAACTGTATCTGGTGCAAGCATCTACTAAAGCCTGTCTGTTCAACTGTCCTGGAAGGAGACTGGTTAACCCGTGATGGAAGGTAATTCAGGCTTGCCTCTCTTGTGACCCAAATAATAGACCTTTTTTTTTTCTTGAGACAAGGTCTCAGTTGGATTGCCCAGGCTACAGTGCAGTGGCACTATCTCACCTCACTGCAGCCTTGACCTCCCAAGTTCAGGTGATTCTTCCACCTCAGCCTCCCGAGTAGCTGGGACTACAGGCACACGCCACCAAGCCTGGCTGACTTTTTGTTTTTTCAGTAGAGATAGGGTTTTGCCATGTTGCCCAGGCTGGTCTCAAACTCCTAGACTCAAACAATCCACCCACTTCAGCCTCCCAAAGTGCTAGGAGCCACCGTGCACAGGTGTGAGCCACCGTGCCTGGCCCAAGACTTTGAAGGACAAAAGATGATTTAGTTTTCACCAGTCAGCCCACTGCCTTGTTATCTTTAACCTTCACCAACAGACCTTTTTTTTTTTTTTTAAATTATACTTTAAGTTCTAGGGTACATGTGCACAACGTGCAGGTTTGTTACATATGTATACATGTGCCATGTTGGTGTGCTGCATCCATTAATTCATCATTTACATCAGGTATTTCTCCTAATGCTATCCCTCCCTCCCCCCATTCCACAACAGGCCCCAGTGTGTGATGTTCCCCTTCCTGTGTCCAAGGGTTCTCACTGTTCAATTCCCACCTGTGAGGACATGCGGTGTTTAGTTTTCTGTCCTTGCAACAGTTTGCTCAGAATGATGGTTTCCAGCTTCATCCGTGTCCCTACAAAGGACATGAACTCATCCCTCTTTATGGCTGCATAGTATTCCATGGTGTAAATGTGCCACATATTCTTAATCCAGTCTATCACTGCTGGCCATTTGGGTTGGTTCCAAGTCTTTGCTATTGTGAATAGTGCTGCAATAAACATACGTGTGCATGTGTCTTTATAGCAGCATGATTTATAATCCTTTGGGTATATACTCAGTAATGGGATCACTGGGTCAAATGGTATTTCTAGTTCTAGATCCTTGAGGAATCGCCACACTGTCTTTCACAATGGTTGAACTAGTTTACACTCCTACCAATAGTGTAAAAGTGTTCCTATTTCTCCACATCCTCTCCAGTACCTGTTGTTTCCTGACTTTTTAATGATCGCCATTCTAACTGGTGTGAGATGATATCTCACTGTGGTTTTGATCTGCATTTCTCTGATGGCCTGTGATGATGAGCATTTTTTCATATGTCACCAACAGACTTCCAAAAGGCTCACTTCTCCAATCCCAATATCTTCCTGAATGGCATTACCTTTCCTCCATTTCCTCCCTTTAATTTTGCCTGAGGTTGCAAATTTTTGAATTTTTGCAATCAGATCTTGGCAATGGACTTGAACAGTAGGATATAAATAACTCCCACACGCTTAGCATTCCAATAATGGAACACTAGGTATAAATGGATTTTCATATCTACCCACCATGTTCTAGGCAAAAACATCCTACCAGGGTCTAAGGACACAGAGAAGGAAACAGACCTTCATTCTTTATAACCCTCCTCAGGGATAAGGGATACTTGATCTTCCCAAAGATTCAGAATCACTTGTTCCCTGTGCAACCTCTATGACTAACTTATGTGCCTATGACTGAAGTATCCTCCTGAATTAGAATTTATTTACTTACTTATTTTTTCCTCCTGCCAAACCATGAGTTCCCCCAGGGCATGAGGTGCATCTCATTCATCTCTAGACTACCAGCACCTATCATCTCACAGCATGTGGGCACACAGGAAATGCTCAACATATGTGGAGAAGAGGTAAAACAGCAGGTAGACTGCACAGTCCCTGCCCTCAAGGAGCATGTAGCCTAACGCTTTAGGCAGACATGTAAATATATATGAGTATTGCTATGCGATACATGCAGTAAATGGTGATGTACAGGATGTAAGTAATAGCACAACAAAGGCCAGATTGGCTGGGCATGGTGGCTCACACCTGTAATCCCCACACTTTGAGAGGACAGGGTGGAAGGATCGCTTGAACCCAGGAATTCAAGACCTGCCTGGGCAGCATAGTGAGACCCCTATTTCTACAAAAACATTTTTAAAAATTAGCCAGGTGTGGTGGTACGTGCCTGTAGTCCCAGCTACTCAAGAGGCTGAGGCAAGAGGATCACTTGAACCTAGGAGCTCAAGGCTGCAGTGAGCTATGATCTCCAGCCTAGGTGACAGAGCCAGGATTGACATGAGGAGGGAATGCTGTACAAAGGAGGAAGGCCTGGGCTGTACTTGATTAAGCATAAGAGAAAGATAAAGGGGGTAGGGGTGTTCCACACCGACAGGGTAAGGTGAAGAAAAGCTCAAGGCAGCAGGGGGTGTTCAGGGAAATGTGAGAACCTCGGCTCAGCTAGATGAGGTAGTGGAAGGGCAGGGGGCTGGGAAAGAGTCTTATATGCTCTGCACAAAAGGAATTCAGGCCTTGCCTTGCAGGTGAGGCAGGCCACCTAAGTGTTTAAAGCACGGGTTTAAGCGGTTCTGGAAAGATGCTCTAGCAGCAACAGAGAGTGTGGCCCAGAGGGGAGCAAGAGGCAGTGTGGCTACTATTCTAGCCAAGGGCACAGGGAGCACCTGAGGGAGAAGGCCCCAAGAAACCCAGGTTTCTGGGCCACTTGGCAGGTGGTAGCACCATGGGAGCACATGGACAGCACCAGGATTTCAGTTAGGAAACGAGAAAACCATGGTTCAGACCCTGGTTCTGTTATCATCAACAAGCTGCATAAATCATTCAACCACAACTGTCTCACCTGTCAAAGCAGGAAAACAATCTCATCTAAGGAAAACTGGAGTATACATGTCGTCAAGAATACAAAGGTGAGAAAGACATGGGCCCTCTCTTCAAATCCAAAAGGAAATAAAGGAAACTTACAATAAAACAAGGTGGCAAGTGCCATAAAATATGTTTTAAAAATAATTTCTTTTTATCACAAAAGTAATATATTCTTGCTGCAATAAAAGACCCTTGGATAATAGAGTGAATTTAAAAGATATAAAATAGTATGGGAAATTAAAGAGATGACGGAGTAATTCATTATAAGGAAGTTTAAATGAGATAAACACAAGTTCTTTTAAAAGTAAGAAGCATTGACTGGGCATGGTGGCTCATGCCTGCAATCCCAGCACTTTGGGAGGCCAAGGTGGGTGTCACTTAAGAGCAGGAGTTCGAGACCAGCCTGGCTATATGGTGAAACCCCGTCTCTACTAAAAATACAAAAAATTAGCCAGGAGTGGTGGCATGCACCTGTAATCCTAGCTACTTGGGAGGCTGAGGTACAAGAATTGCTTGAACTTGGGAGGCAGAGGTTGTGCAGTGAGCCGAGATTTTGTCACTGCACTCCAGCCTGCATGACAGAGCGAGAAACTGTCTTTTTTTTTTTTTTTTAAAGTATGAACCATTAAAAAGTTCACATTGGCTCATCTCTACCAGAGCTCTGGCCTGTGTGTGTGCCCCTGGCCCCTCAGTGCTGCCCTGCTCCAGGGGTGGGGAGGGCCATCCATTAACAAACATCTCCAACAAGGAGCTTTGTGAGTTTTTTTTCCCCCCAAGAAAATTATCCATGTAAAATGTTTTCTAAGAAATACAGATCCCAACAATGAAGTAAACAAATTATTTGTAGCTTAATAACCCACTGGGTGTCTGAAAGGCAAATAGAGCACACTGTTGGTTGTTTTTGTTTGAAACAAATACTGAGCTATTCACAAAGCAATAACCACTACATAAGTTTATGACAACCCAAGGCTTTCATGCCTATGAGAATTTCACTTCAATGTCAATATCATATTCAATAAATCACAGGACTTCAGGAAGAACCAAGAATGCTGTCAAATACTATGATAAACAGGATTAAGTAACAATAATATCAAACTATTAGAATAGGCAAAGGCTGTGAAGATAATTTGTGAAAGAAATATAGTTTATGGATAAAATGCAAAAGCATGTTCAACCTCACTAATATCCCCCAAAAATGCACACCAATCTAAATGTCCATGAGGAACTGATTAAATGCATTAGGGCATATTCATATGACAAACTAACACACTATTATTTAAAATTACGTTCTGAAACTGAGTCATAGGGAAAATATCCAAAGTATAATTGAAAAAGAGAAAATAAGATACAAAATACTATAGATTCAATTTTGCATAAAAGATAAAGAAATATAAAGCAGATTGTTATTAACAAAAAGAGATTTTTCTCTAAGTGTTGAAATTGGAGATGATGACTTGCTTTCTATCTTTCCAAAATTTTCCATACTAATATTTAGTAATTTTACAATCAGAATAATCTTAAATATAAATACTATTATCTAATAATTCTCAGCTTCACGAGGGCAGGGACTAGGTCTGTGTTTGCTTATCTAAGTGCTTAGCACACCGCATGTGCTCTATAATTATTTGTTGACTAGATCAATGATTGAACAAATGAAAGACAGATATACTCATTTAAAAAGTTCTGGCTGGACGCGGCAGCTCATTCCTGTAATCCTAGCACTTTGGGAGGCCGAGGCGGGCAGATCACGAGGTCAGAGTTCAAGACCAGGCTGACCAACATAGTGAAACCCCATCTCTACTGAAAATACAAAAAATTAGCCAGGCGTGGTGGCAGGCACCTGTAATCCCAGCTACTCCAGAGGCTGAGGCAGGAGAATTGCTTGAACCTGGGAGGCAGAGGTTGCAGTGAACCGAGATCGTGCCACTGCACTCCAGCCCAGGCAACAGTGCGAGACTCCATTTCAAAAAAAAAAAAAGTTCTGATACACTCTCACACTTTAACTTTTATTACATTTGCTTTATTCTCCTCTCTCAACAGGTATTTTCTTTTCTTTCCTTTTCTAAGTCTTGCTCTGTCACCCAGGCTGGAGTGCAGTGGAGTGATCTCAGGTCACTGCAACCCCCACCTCCCATGTTCAAGTGATTCTCCTGCCTCAGCCTCCCAAGTAGTTGGGATTACAGGCGCCTGCCACCACACGCAGCCAATTTTTGTATTTTATTAGTGATGGGGTTTCACCATGTTGGCCAGGCTGGTCTCGAACTCCTGATTTGAGTGATCCGCCTGCCTCAGCCTCCTAATGTACTGGGATTACAGGTGTGAGCCAAGGCACCTGGCCAGATATTTTCTTAATGGTTAAAATTAGCTCCTTACAAGAGTCTTTGAGTGTCAGGAAAAGGGAGTAAAAAATCACAGAGCTCTTGTCTTGACCAATGAGGTCCAGATAAGCTCCGGTACTCTTTTGTATCTGAGTCAGCAGTGCACTCCAAATGGGGGATTTGACATTACTGTATTATAGAAAATTCACATGAGCTAGGAGTTCTTGACCATATAAGTAAGGTATTATTAGAAGAGTCCTTAGAAGAGGGTTAAGGAGAAAAAGAAGTATTGAACCAAAGCAAACAGTGAATGTACATCATAGAACATATTTTAAAAGAAAGATCAATATTTAGAAGTCCAAATTTCAGAGGTCAAAATAAAAGTTAAATTCCACTTTTGACTTCAGCCAAACAGAAGCAAAGCATCCCTGGTACGAGACAGAGACAAAGATGGAAACAGCAAGAGAAATAAGAAAAAGGGGGAAAAACTGGCTTCTGATAGGCTAGAAAGAAAAGAGTATGTTATAATTTAAAAGAAATAGATCCTTCATTTAAGGTTTAGGAGAAAATATCTTTCTGACAGTGAATTTGAATTGATTTCCTTTTAGAATTTTCAGTTTTTTCAAGTAAGTTCTATCTACCAAAATGGCAAGTTTCTGCTGTCAATATCAGAGACCACCATGACCACATAATTAAAATAATTAGGTCAATTTTAGACTCAGTCATAGGACAAGCTTTAGAGGCTCACTTGAATCTATTTCACTCAAGAAATTAAAGCTAAACCTAGAAAGCGTTTGTTCTGGACAGACTAATTAAGAAATTAGTTTATATCCCTCACTAGTTTGTTAAAATGCAGGTAATTCCACTATATTAGCAAATCTTTAATGATCTTTAACGATCTCCTAATATACGTGAAACCACTGAAGGCACTCAGGCCTTAATAACAACTTCCTGAAAACCGTAAATTTAAGCCAGTTACATTTCACTTTAAAGGTTATGATCACAACCTGATTCCCACAAAGAAAAAGTATTATACATCTACATACATATAAAAGGCACTAGCAATTGCTGTAAGTATGACAGAATTCCCTTGAGACAAGAGGATGAGACAGACTCTGGCACAAAAACTGCTCCACTAAACACACATTAAATACTTGTGGTTTCAATTTCCCCAGTAATAAATCAGTATCATGCTCCAAAGAGGCGCCACGTTTTCAAAGACTGAAATACAAGGCATTCTTTAAAAAGCGTATTACTAATTGTGTGCACTGAATAGTGAAAATCATTAAGAATAACGCTTCAGCATACCTGACAATTCTTGTTTTACAAATGAAAGCACAGCCAGGTACACCTGACAGTCAGCTATGATTATCTGCCTCTGAAGCCGATCAACCATAGAGGGGGCGGATTTTCGGACATCAACCTGTTTGGCAGAAAGAAAGTCCACACTGATAAATCACACACAACAATGTTAGTCCCCCAAAACAGTATTAGGTTATTGTACAAAATAATTTTACATAGGAATTGTGAAACCTGGCACTCAAAGCCAAGAACAAATTTATCCTATGAGCCTGGCAGCTCCAAATTCCCATTAGTCTAACTTTGTTTTGTTTGTTTGAGCCCTGTAACTCAAAGACAAAAATATTCTAAGTGATACAAACTGAGTTCATGGGGAATACGAAAAGCAACAAAAATCTTCAGAGTTTCACCTTTTTAAAAAAAAAAAAAACGTAAAGTCTTTCTTATTCAAAATAAAAATCATTAAAAGTACAATATATTCCTTAAGTAGATAACCTGAAAAGTCAACTTTGCAGCCACCTGTCTTCAGGTAGGATAACATCAGGGGCATTCTTTTCAGGCATGCAACTGAGATGTAAAGATCAGAAACTGACTACATTTCCATTAAGGAGAAAATATTCTGGAATTAAAAATTAGCTTTGAATAAATCACAAACAGTACTTGAAATATGTCATATAAATACAAATATGCAAAAAGTCAAGTCACTTTTTATAAAATATTGGTCTTTATCATAACGTTTCTAAAATGAAGAACAGAACAGTCCAGAATAGAACACTCTGCATTCTTAGTACAAAGTAAACTTGAATAAGTTAAATAGCTTTCATATGCTATCACAATGACAGAAGAAATAATAGGATTTTTGCAAATATGTTAACAGTATACACAGTAGATACACCAGAATGATCTGTTTCCTTTTTTTTCTAGATTTTAGCATAATCCATCGTGGTCACTGTTCCAAATCTAGCCCCAGCACTCACTATTCTGTTCACTTGGGAAAATGTCAAGATGCTCTGTTTCCTCGTTTGTAATAGCATCTATTGTGCAGGATTGTTGGGAGGGCTAATGAGATACTGAATGTGAAAATGCTTTTTAAACTGCAAGGACTCATTACAAATGTTAATTATTAACACAGGTGCCAGACATGGTACTAGAGATGGCAGACATGTAAGCTTTCATTCTACTGAGGAAAATAGACCATATTACTGTGTACTGTGGAAAGCTCTCTGAAGGGTAAGGACAGGGAACTACGGGAACCTGTAGGAGACACACTTAACAGGGCAGGGGGCCTCAAGCAAGAGTCCTTGGGGAAAAGGACACCTAGAAAGAACTAAAGAGGAGTAGGAACCAGGAAACGAGGGAGGAGAATGTTCCAGGCAGAGGAAACGTAAATGCCAAGTCAGCCACATTAAGGAGTCTGTACTTTATTATAACGGCAATGGCTGGTGAGGGGGGCCACTGAAAACCAAGCAAGCAAGAAATTTGCATTTTAGTGACTATATTATGGACAATGAATTAGAGCAGCAGTCCCCAACCTTTTTGGCAGCAGGGACCAGCTGCATGGAAGACAATTTTTCCATGGACTGGGTTAGGGGGTTGGGAGGAGATGAGTTAATGGTTTTAGGATGAAACTGTTCCACCTCAGATCATCAGGCATTAGTTAGATTCTCATAAGCAGTGTGCACCCTAGATCCCTTGCATAGACAGTTCATGCTCCTATGACAATCTAATGACGCTGTTGATCTGACAGCAAGCAAAATTCAGGTGGCAATGCTCACTCGCCCTTCAGCTCACCTCCTGCCCTGTGGTCTGGTTCCTAACAGGCCACAGACCAGTACAGGTCCATGGCCCAGAGGCTGGGGACCCCTACATTAAAGAACCGTGAGACTGGAGGCAGAAATACCCATGTGTCTTAGACAGGTGGGATAGTGTCTGACCTACAGAGATGGCAGTAAGGATGGAGAGCAGTCAATGAATTCAAGAGGTATTTAAGAAAAACAGTCAACAGCACTTGGTCATTGATTAGACATTATAAAACATTGGTCTTTATCATAATGTTTCTAAAATGAAGAATAGAACACTCCAGAATAGAACATTCTGCATTCTTAGTACAAAATAAACTTGAATAAAATAAGTTAAATACCTTTATATGCTATCACAATGACAGAAGAAATAATAGGATTTTTGCAAATATGTCAACAGTATACACACAGACACACCAGAATGATCTGTTTCCCTTTTTCTGGATTTTAGCATAATCCATCGTGGTCACTGTTGTTCCAAATCTAGCCCCAGCACTCACTATTCTATTCACTTGGGAAAATGTCAAGATGTTTCTGTTTCCTCGTTTGTAACAACATCTGCTGTGCAGGATGTGTCAGGCTGGAGAGAGAGGAAGCTAGGAAAATTCTGGCCCTCTGGAGCATCAGGAGGTGGGACCCTTGGCCCATCAGTGGCTTTCTCATGGTGGACACCATAAACAAGAGCAGAGGTGAAGCAGTCTCCTATGATGCTTCATAGGCAGGGCACGGGCATGCAGGAGCAGAAGACAGGTGGCTTCTGATGACTATATCCAACAGACTGATCTGTCAGTGACATATGCAAGACCCTTGGGCACTCCGGGTAACATCAGAGTTAGGAGGATGCCTCTCCATAGCCTAGCACTTTTGCACTGGAATGGTGAGGGGAAAGTCAGGAAAACTGGATTCTGATGGTATTATGACTATTTGCAACCAAAGGCTGGTGAGGCCTGGGGAAAATTAGGTAAACAGCTGAATTCCAGAATTATACCAAAATGCAATTCTATTATTCATCAACTGTCATCGTATCCTACTTGAATTACATATAGGAAAACCTCATTAAAACAGCCCTTGCCACACGGCCCATTATGGAAGAAGATGACTGTAAGATATCAAAAGAACATACACTGAATAGCTCTGGAGGACTGAAAGCAGCTTTTGTTTTTATAAGAGATACATTTTATATGACCAAAAACCATAAGAAACATTGTGGTTTTTCAGTCATATTCTAAATACAAAACCAAGCGAACAGCTTTTGTTCTAAATGAACAAAAGTGATATTCTAAATCAGTGGCACACAGTCCACAACCTAAAGCCGCAGTACTTACATTCTTCTTAATTTTATTCTTGATTGTTTCAATTACTCCAGCCTCTTCACTTTCACACAGTTTTTCTGTGGTTTTTAAGTCATCACATGCCAACTGCATTTTTTCTTCCTCAAATGTCATCATGGCATTCTTCCAAGAAAGAAAGAAAGAATGAATGAATGAATGAATGAATGAATGAATGAATCAGTATCAGAAAATTTAAGCCAATTTATTACAAAACTCCAAATAAAAAAACACTTAAGTTATTTATTGCAAGCAAAAGAATCACAATGTTATGGCATAATCTATTCATTTAAAGAAACTATAATCTCAACGTGAAATAAGATTATACCTCTATCACATCATCATGAAAAAAATATGGTAATAAATGTCCTTGCCATTACTGTTCTACAATTTTTGTTGTTGCAGTTATTAAACATGGTAACAAAAATTCTCTATAATTTCTGATTGGTCTGCTCAATTCAGTTTTTACAATGGTGTCTAATTCAAAAGTTCATTCCACCCACATATGGATCCCTGGCTCCGCCAAGAACTGCACAGAAATGCTAATGAAACAACAGCTTGTAGGTACTCTTAGAAAATCTTCAGACTTTCCAGGGACTGCAATTCCAGTAGGTTCACTTATAAGGAATCCATTTTATATTGTCTATGTTTAAAAATTCCATGACAGCTTGTTACTAGGCACCTGATCCTAGTGGACTTTTTCAGGCCACATTTAACGAGGTAGGGGAAATCTAGTGAATGTCTGCTGAACACCTGTGACTTTACACAGTAGAACTGAGGTTTCTGAGATGAATGGGCTTACAGGGGCAGAGACAGACTTGCTGCAGGATACCTGGTTCTTGGAAGGACCTGATGAACCTACTGTCTCCAGCTCCTCATTTCCTATCAAATTCTACCAGCTCCATCTTGGCCTTTCAGGCTTCCTCAGTATGGCTCTAACCTACTTTTCCATTCTAGCCAAACCTCAGCCCAGACCTCCCTGCCACACTCTTCTTCCCAACCCTCCTCTCAAGCTGCTGAAATCTCAACCCTGCTGTGGCCTTGCTTCTCCTCCTCCTCCACCACCAGACTCAGCCAAGACCCTTTGGTTAGATCTCATTTGCAGCCCTTATAATCACTTGGGTTCTAATGTTACAACCGCCACCCAGTACCATGTTCCTTAGGGTTGGGAATAATGTATTCGTTCAAACAATAGCCCTTAACATTTTTGTTGCATTAACTGGCAATAAGAGGAAATAAATACCTTGAATAAAAACTTCTCACTGGCAGCTGGCGTGGTACCTGTGGTAGAGCACTGCCAGGCTGTGACACGCCCATTTGCTGACATCTTTCTAAATCTTGGATCTAAATGCTTTCTCTTTTTCAGTCTCTATCACGACTTTTTTTTTCTTGCTGTTACACAATTCTTTAAGTCTTTTAAAAAAATTACGTGTTTGAAAATAATTTGTGTGATGTTATTACTGTTTCTGGAAAATGGAAGTATCCCATTTTCCACATTGCCCAATGTACTTTAAAACCTAACTGCAACCTACTTCCTCAATTCCCAAATACTCATATTTGGAAATGTAATACTAACAGACAAATTTTAGCTCTGCTCATTTAACTTGTCCTCTAGTCCACATTTACTCAATAATTTTAGAGCAAACCTTTATTACCCAAACCCAGACCTTTTTTCTACCTCGAATACAATTTTAATTATTAAAGTTCTTTCCATTACATTTTTATTCTAAAAAGGACTTTGGTTAAAATATAGTACCCTATAAATAAGATGTAAGCATTGTATTTTTAAAATTAGGGAAGACAGATTATTTCATAGGCATTTGGTAACAGGCAAAAACTTGACTTCAGTTTTAGACTCTAAAAGACTTTCTACAATAGTATATCTATATAACTGGTAGCCACTAACAGACATTACTTTATATAATTGTTTCTTTCATGCCAGTAGGTCTTAAGATATCAACTTACCAAAAAACTGACAAAGCTGGCTCCAAAACTCATTAGTGGGCTATGATTTCTGTTAAAAAAAAAAAAAAAACACACACACACACACAATAAAATTATTTTCATTGTAAAATTTTATTTTAAAAGCATTTGACATATCACGATTACCATATAATCCTCCTAATTGGATAAAAGAAGTTAAGGTCATCAAGCAGATTACCCTAATAAAGAAGGTAAAGAGGCAAGGTGGTTTACAGCTCTATCTGCCAGGATAGAATTTGCCTCTGATTCTTCAAATTAAGGCAAACAAAAAGTCAAATGAGAACAGACACTGCCTTAGTACACTTTTTAACTGTGGCTGTTAAAGAGTTGACACAATAAATATAAAGATGGTAGAAACAGGCCAGGCGCAGTGGCTCACGCCTGTAATCCCAGCACTTTGGGAGGCTGAGGCAGGCAGATTACCTGAGGTCAGGAGTTGCAGACAGGCCTAGCCAACATGGCAAAACCTCATCTCTACTAAAAATACAAAAGTTAGCAGCAAGTGGTGGCAGGTGTCTATAATCCCAGCTATTCAGGAGCCCGAGGCAGGGAGAATTGTGTGAACCGGGGAGATGGAGGTCACACTGAGCCAAGATCGCACCATTGCACTCCAGGCTGGGCGAGAGTGAGACTCTGTCTCAAAAAAAAAAAAAAAAAAAAAAAAAAAAGATAGAAACAAACTGACAACTACAAAACCTTGGCCAAAGAAAGATGGTTATTTTTCATTTTTAAAATAATCTTCTACCGTTACCAGTTAGATCATTTTTAAAATGCAAAACTTGTTACAAATGTTCAACACAGAAAATCAGTCTAGTTTCTAGAGTATATCAAAGGGTCTCTTCACTGAGTCAGACTTCACAAAGTCACTCATCAAATCCGAGAACCTTAGGAATGCCTCCCTAAGAGTCAGCCATTCCCCCTTGTAATCATCTGATTTTGTTGTAAGCCAAAAATGAAAGCAAATCAATATCAATTTAAAGAATAAAAGAATATAAATGTTCTGCTTCAAAATCCAAAATAGTACAAAATCCAGATCTCTATAAATTCCACTAAAAGGAAAAGCTAGTTGTAACTACCTTCTTAAATGAAAACCATTTTATTGATTTTTTATTATGCAAATACTATATGGTCACTATAAAAAGGCATGAAACAATGTATTCTATCTCTGACTATAAATACAGAATATATGCAAAGTGAGAGTATGTGTGTGTCTACGGGAAAGAGAAGGTGCACGCTTACATGTGTCTGAATGTGTGTGTACACACATATGCCTAATGGATATCTTGTACATACATTTTGGCAGGCAAGGTCAAATATATTCTTGGGATAAAATGCTAGCAGTAGCATTACTGAGTTAAAGGGTATGCATATTCATTTTTCTCCTGGTGCACTGTGTGTGTGTCAGAGAAAGACAGTATGTGTGCCATCCAGGACTCTATTTAACACTAACCTTCTGCTACCATTTTCTTTTTCATCTACTTAGTACCTACCTAAATTCTATAGTTAATAATAGTCCGCTTATCCCATTTAATAGATTACTTAAGCCAACATGAAAAAAAAATGGGAAGGTCAATTCCCTTGTGAGGAATCCCTAACCAGCGCTCACACCCATGAACCTAGATCAAACCGCAGACTTTTGTAGCATCTGTCATCCCCACAATCTGCCTCAAAATACATGTTAGTTTTTCTCATCCCATAGCACTATTTGGGCATAACAGTATGTATAGTAGGGCATACCCTACCCTACTATACATATCATATCCACCTTACACACATAGCAGGTGTTCCGCAAATCCGAGTCGGTGAAGGAAGGGATGACACAGAATTCTGTCTTTCAGGAACAGACGCATCTCAATCAAGTGCTGTGTACTGCGACTTTTCCCTCCTTTTCCCTGCTTACATATTAGCCACTTTGCCATTTGAAAAATGAAGGAAGCTGAAACTAGGGCCTACTGTTGCCACATCTGCTTCTTATTCTTGGCTAAAATTAGGTTTCTGAGAGCTGTGGCAATTAATTATTCATGGTACCTAACCTGGCCCTTTTGACTTCACATACCATCTTATCATTTAAGTGGGGGAAAAAAACCATAGCAACAGCCCAAGGTTAAACCCCCACAGCACCGGGAGCATCGGGCACGTGACAACACACTCGGGGCGGGCGGTTGTCCTCTCAGGCTGCACATCACTCGCTGTTAGAAGAGCTCGATCTAACATGGTTCACTTGGTCCTTGGTTTTTTTGTCGTTTCTTTTTAAGACAGAGTCTTGTTCTGTCGCCCAGACTGGAGTGCAATGGCGCAATCTTGGCTCACTGCAACCTCTGCCTCCTGGGTTCCAGTCATTCTCCTGCCTCAGCCTCCCAAGCAGCTGGGATTAGAGGCAGGTGCCACCACGCCTGGCTAATTAATTGTATTTTTAATAGAGATGGAGTTTCACTATACTGACCAGGCTGGTCTCAAACTCCTGACCTCAAGTGATCCACCCTCCTCGGCCTCCCAAAGTGCTAGGATTACAGGCATGAGCCACCACACCCAGTCCACTTTTTTTTTCTTAAACTTCACATATTTCAAGTGATCCTAAGTTAACTTACTGCATCCTAATCAATTGTGGACCATGCATGTGTCTCTACACAAAATGCATTCATTTTGGAGATATGGAAATGTTCCCAAAGAGTACGAAGGTCATTAGTTCAAAACTGGAGCTGTGGAGCGGGAGGAAGAGGCTCCCAGCTCATTTCAATACTGCTCATATTTGGAACCAACAGACAAAGACCAAACAAGGGGAGTGGGAGTGCTATGTGAAGGCTGCATATAAAGGTAAGCATTAGAACCCAAATACAAACCTTTCTAAATACCAGAAGATATACAAAAACTGGGGCGAGTGAAATAAACCATAGTGAAAAACCTACTTAAAAAAAAAAAAAGACGACTAAATATTTGCTGATATTGAAAAAACAATGGTAGGATAATCTATAACATTTTTTTCAAAATTGATACCTATAAGGTGAGGGAGGGGAATAGGGAAGAAGAAACAAGGATGCAAATGAAGTTCCCTTTTATACATCTTGTTTTGTAGATTTCATTTTGGAACCATGTAAAAGTTATTCACAATAATATTGGATGCTAATAATGCAACCCCTAAAGTCAAAAGAAAGTGACTTAAATATCCCTAAAAGCAAATCCAGTTGGTAACATAACACCAGAGCAGAACTAGTCCAAGAGACTTTACAACACAGTAATCTGACTGTATATCCCTATTGTGAAATAGCCTTAAAAACTGACCCCAAAAGGTGGCCAAAAGAAAAATCTTAACCTGCTTTCAGTAATCATATTCTTACTGGACTGGACAAGTGGGTACTGTTATTCTAAGGCTGCTGGGTCGTAGTATGTGAGAAAGCAATCAGTTAAGTATATCAGCATTTGTTGGGACCCAGGACTCTGTGCATAGGAAAAAGGATGAAACAAACTTTTAAATCCTATAGTCCAGAATACAAACTGGAAGAATAAAAGCAAACTCATTGAGTTTTTTATCTTTAAAAGAATACGGCCGCGTGCGGTGGCTCACGCCTGCAATCCTAGCACTTTGGGAGTCTGCGGCAGGTGGATCACCTGAGGTCAGGAGTTCAAGACCAGCCTGGCTAACGTGGTGAAACCCTGTCTCGACTAAAAATACAAAAATTAGCCAGGCGTGTCTGTAATCCCAGCTATCTGGGAGGCTGAGGCAGGAGAATCTCTGGAATCTGAGAGGCAGAGGCTGCAGTGAGCCAAGATGGCGCCACTGCACTTCAGCCTGAGAGAGCTGAAGACAGAGCGAGACTCCGTCTCAAAAAAAAAAAAAATGCAAATCAAAACCACCATAAGATACCATCTCACAACAGTCGGAATGTTTATTATTAAAAAGTCAAAAAACAACAGATGCTGGCAAGGTTGTGGAGAAAAAGGAACACTCTTACACTGTTGGTGGGAGTGTAAATTAGCTCAACCATTGTGGAAGACAGTGTGGCGATTCCTGAAAGACCTAGAGGCAGAAATACTATTTGATATGGTTTGGCTGTGTCCCCACCCAAATCTCACCTTGATCGTAGCTCCCATAATTCCCAAGTGTTGTGGGAGGGACCCAGTGGGAGACAATTGAATCATGGCGGGGATGGTAGTGAGTAAGCCTCATCAGATCTGATCGTTGTATAAGGCATTCCCCCTTTCACCTGGCTCTCATTCTCTCTTTGCCTGCTGCCATGCAAGACATGACTTTGCTCCTCCCTTGCCTTCTGCCACGATTGTGAGGCCTCCCCAGCCATGTGGAATTGTGAGTTAATTAAACTTCTTTTCTTTATAAATTACCCAGTCTAGCCGGGCGCGGTGGCTCACGCCTGTAATCCCAGCACTTTGGGAGGCCGAGGCAGGCGGATCACAAGGTCAGGAGATCGAGACCACGGTGAAACCCTGTCTCTACTAAAAATACAAAAAATTAGCAGGGCGCGGTTGAGGGCGCCGGTAGTCCCAGCTACTCGGTAGGCTGAGCCAGGAGAATGGCGGGAACCCGGGAGGCGGAGCTTGCAGTGAGCCGAGATCGCGCCACTGCACTCCAGCCTGGGCGACCAAGCGAGACTCTGTCTCTAAATAAATAAATAAATAGATAGATAACCCAGTCTCAGTCTCGGGTATATCTTTATCAGCAGCATGAAAACAAACTAATATACCATTCAACCCAAGAATCCCACTACTGGGTATATACCCAAAGAACTATAAATCGTTCTATTTTAAAGATACATGCACGTGTATATTCACTGCAGCACTATTCACAATAGCAAAGACAAAGACTTGGAATCAACTGAAATGCCCATCAATGATAGACTGAATAAAGAAAATGTGGTACATGTACACCATTGAATACTATGCAACCATAAAAAGGAACGAGATCATGTCCTTTGCAGGGACACAGATAGAGCTGGAAGCCATTATCCTTAGCAAACTAATGCAGAAACAGAAAACCAAACACCAAATGTTCTGATCTGTAAGTGGGAGCTAAGTGAT